AATTCATCATTTTCTTCTTCTTCTTCAAATTCCAATGATGATAGTAAGCTTTCATCTATCAATTCAAACGTGTTCCGTCTCTTCCAAAGAGAAAAGCTTGTTCATAAGATCTTCGGCGGTGGAAAACGTATGTTATTCTCGTGATTTCACCTCATTTTCGTTTTTTTGTCTACTATTATTATTGATTTCGAATGTTTTTTTTTAGTTTTTTATTAGTATGATGATTAAATGCTTAAATCAGTTTCGTTAAACCCTAGCTGAGTTTCTTGAGGTTGCTGCTAAGCAACTGTATGGTGAAAAATGGTAAATATCTTTTATAAATGTCAAATGTTTTTTTTTTAATTACCATGATCGTGGTGCGTCGTTGTGATCGTGGGGGTGTTGGATTGTGGTCACCAACACATACCACATGTGATGTGACAACGCCCAATGATCTTTCTTCTATCCTTTCTTTTTCATGTGTTGTGGTAGTCATGGTCGTGATATGTTCATGGTGGTGCTTGAGACTGAGGTGAAGACTAATTGGCTAAAGTGGTTTGTGGTTTGTGACATACAATACTGGATGGCCTAATAAGTGATCTAAATATTGTGTTTGTTATGGCAATGATATTTTATGCTTATTTGCATACTAAGGGTCAAATTAGAATTGTAGCAGGTTCTCTTTCTTCAAGAATCTATTACGGATTTTTTTTTTGGTTCAATCAAATCATTCTTGTTCTTTTTCAAATTTTAGCCACACTTTCTAGTTTGTAGGTCACAGCCACGGCCCACGAGTTGGCAATTTATGATAACATGGATATGCATATGCTTAAGAGGTGCCTTGTCTTTGTTTAAAATTTTTTTTACACAATTACCGTTAATGTGGTGGGTATCTATTTTTGGATTCTTTGTCCTTTTTGAAGCTACATCAGCTTTATATTTCAATTGTTTTACCGTATTTTCCTAACTTCCCTTAATCCTAAACCATTATGTAAACATGAGTTAGTTTAATATGAGACAGCTTAATTTTGTGAGACCGTGAGACGTTTTTTTTTTTTTTTTTTTTTTTTTTTTTAAATAATTCAAGTTCCGAAAATAATATTTAAAAAAAGAATTTTTGGATTTTTCCATTTATTTTGCTTTTTAAAATATGTACAATGTAATATTCTATTAGAATATTTCACATATTTTTCAAAAAAAAAAACATGATTTTTTTTATTTTTTTTAATTAATTCAAGTTCTGAAAATAATATTTAAACAAATAATTTTTAGATTTTTCCATTTATTTTGCATTTTAAAATAATTTTTTAGAATATGTCAGTGTAATATTCTATTAGAATATTTCACGTATTTTTCAAAAAAAAAAAAGGGAATTTTTTTTATTTTTTTTAGTTAATTTAAGTTCCAAAAATAATATTTAAAAAAAGAATTTTTGGATTTTTCCATTTATTTTGCATTTTAAAATTATTTTTAGATTTGGTTTTACGGTCTCACAAAATTAGAATTGTTTCAAATGAACCTAAACCATGTAAACATAATAATTAAAATCAATACGACCTAATTAAAAATACAAAAACTATTATATAATTGAGAAAACATTCATTAATAAAGAAAAACTACTACGCTAGAAAAATTAAAAATAGAAGTACAAGAAAAAAAAACACCTCTAACTAAAAATTACATAAAAAATAATTCATTCCCAACCATATTTTTTCCCAATTTCACTCTTGCATGCTCGGACCGCAACCAACATCGATCTTCACCATCTTTACAAATGATCATGCGACACTACACAGATATGCATATCCTCATCTCTACATCTTTCTTGCATCAAATTCAAATCCCCATGACTACATGTGGTTTAAGACTTTCATGTAAATGTATATGTATTCAATGTGTCTCGCTTGAAATATATTTGTTGCTTTTGATTGCCCGTTTGGAGGATTAGTAAATAACTTCAAACTTATTAATCCCCACATGCATCTACCTTGAGTTCATTTTAAAGGATATTTTGATTGTTAAACACCCATACCCCTTATTTGTTGTGAAAAACTCTCAAAATACGATTCCAAAAGCATTCAGTTAGTTGACGTCTTGACGATTCCCGTTAACCTTATCTTTCAAAAGGCCCATCCAAGCAGACCTGGCAAACGTAGCGTGTCGTGTCGGGTTCGTGCCGTGTCAAGACATTAAATGGATTGAGAGTGCTTAACCCTAACCCGACCCGTTTAATTATCGTGTCGTGTCGTGTCAACCTATTTATTTTCGTGTCGGGTTTCGGGTTAAGGTTTAAACCTTATAAATATGTATCATGCTGGGTTGAAACATTTTAAATGTTGAAAAGTAAGAGTCATGTAGGAAATAAAATGAAAAAGTAAAATGATGGAGTTAGTACATGAAACGGAATATATATATATATATATATAATATATATATATATATATATATATATATATATACTCCCTCCATCCCATATTTATTGTTTATTTTTTACTTTTGAAGTTTTTATTCTTCTATTTTGACCTTAAATATTTTTATTTGTGTTAAATTACATGATAAAACTTATAATAATGAAAAGACATTTAAAACACAATCCATTCATATATTTTGCATTAAGTGTTATATATCAAAAACAAAAATATTTAAGATCAAATTTGAAGAATAAAGACTTCAAAGTCAAAATTGGACAATAAATATGGGATGGAGGTAGTAGTAAGTTTAGAAAGCAAAATGGAAAGAGTTAGAGTTAGGAAGCAAATGAGATATATGAGATATGTAGTGAGGAAGAGTAAAATTAAGTCATTTTGAATTTTTGAATTTCACTTTTAGTTCTTGAGTTTGGGTCACTACAAATATATAATATTGAAAATATTTATAAAAATATGATATATATATATATATATATATATATATATATATATATATATATATATATATATATATATATATATATATATATATATATATATAAATGGGTCATCTTCAATTTGAAAGTCTTGACCCTAACCCTACCCGTTTAATTATCGTGTCATGTTGTGTCAACCCGTGTACATAAACAGGTCGAAATCTCTGACTCTAACCCGCTAACTTCGTGTCGGGTTGTCGTGTCGTGCCAGATTTTGTTAGGCCTACATCCAAGGCTTAGTGTCCCAACGGATTCTTCTTTAAGGGTCCATGTTTCCTTTATTTATAGAACAAAAAAAATTGCATATATATCGGTATCAAAAATGAAATGAAGCAATATTTTTCATATAGTGTGTAAATTGTCCTAATTTTAACAAGAAAAATGGCATAAAAATTCTTAAGTTTACATCATTTCATTAGTTTTATCTTAATTTTCATTAAACTTTCTATTTTATCTTTTTTACATGTTTCTTTAGTTTTCAAGTTTCCTTAAAGTAGCTCACATGAAAACTAGTTTGTAAAAAAAATTACCTTAAATATGTTTTTTTTACCAGTTTTATCCCATAATTTTTAGGGAAATCTCCAAAAAAATCCTAAAATTTTAGTCTAATTTACGAAAAAAATCCCAAACTAAATTTTATTTATAGAAAAGTACATAATACCGGTTAAAACTTCGAAAAAACCCTTTTCAGCCGATTTCACAGATTTTGCCGGTATTTTGTCATTTTTCGTTAGTTTGGTCAAAATTTTGGGATTTTTCCAAAATCTACATAATAACCAAAATATTGGGACTTTTTTGAAAATTATCATGAAATTAATGGATATTATTATTAACAAATCATTTATAAACATAAAAAATATTTTTATTATAAAAAAAGAAATACGATTATTGCTAATTTTAGGAATAAATTGGTGGTCTAAGTACTCTATTGCTTCGTGACCACTTAAACTCTCTACATTCTTTCTATACATTGTTGTGGGTATGATGGTGAGATGAACTTAGTTAGCATTCCTCTAATGTTGGTGTTCATCTTATGTTGTTTAACCTAACTACAAACTAACTTTCATACATTACATGCTAATAACCATCAGCTAACACACATCTATAAAATATAAAAAGTGAACCATGAATGATAATTTATATGGAAACAAGTGAAGGGTTATTATCTATTTAAATTGCTATTCAAAGTTTACTTTTCACTCTCCATAGATGTGTGTAATTTTATGGTTGTTACCGGGTAATGTTTGGAGGTTAGGTGGTAGTTAGGTTAAAGAACATAATGAAAGATGTATATGTTCGTGTAATGATATTTTCTAATAACATGTGATCGTATAGCATCATGCCTAGCACTTATTGATTGTGTATTAATAAATATTATCAACTCTTCTATTGGTCACGCCTAACAGAGTACTTCTCATTATAACACACACAACGATACATAGGAACATAGAGATTTTGAAGTGGTCAACAAACAATAGAGAAATATATAGTCGATCATTCAATTCCTAGAAATTAGCAACAAATGTATTTCCTTTGTTTATAATAAAAAAAATTATGTTTATAAATGATTTGTTAATAATAACATCCATTAATTCCATAGTAATTTTCAAAAAAGTCCTAATATTTTGGTTATCGGGTAATTTTCAGAAAAATCCTAATATTTTGAGCAAACTAACGAAAAAGGACAGAATACCAGCTAAATCTACGAAATCGGCCAAAAATGGTTTTTTCGAAGTTTTAGCCGGTATTCTGTGCTTTTCTGTAAACAAAAATTAGTTCGAAACTTTTTCATAAATTAGACTAAAATTTTAGGACTTTTTCTGGAGATTTCCCTAATTTTTATACGAAATTTTACTTTTTTGGCTTTTTTATTGGTTAACACAAATTTAAGGGTTTTTATGCTAGTTTCCATTTCTTTTAAATTGCATAGTGATAATAATATTATATAAGTGGATATCGTTTTGAAATAAAAGATGAACATTAGCCCTACCATATGCCTACTCTTCCTCTAAAATTAAATGGCCCCTCAATTTTCGTTTTGAACATGTTTCTTGTAAGGGTACGAAGAAATCAAGAAATGTCCAGACCATTTTTCTGCCAAATTCCATTGAAGTCACACTGATACTAAATATTCATTCATGTATGGACAAATAGTAATCACTTAAACCAACGGATACAATTCATCACACTTCTTCCAAGAAATTATCCAAACAAACTGGTCAAAAACGAATTGGTCAAATCGTGGGTTCGATTAACAGTAAAGCGAATCTCTGCAAAAGAGATAAATGAACACAGAAAGGAACACATTTTTTCCAACTAATCTTTACTACCTTTCATCATTTCTTTTAATGCGTAAAAGAAAAAGTAAATGCAATTGAATGCTTGAATAATTGAAGTCGTTAAGTGACCAAGTAAATGGGCATGGCGGAGCCTGAGATCTTGTGGGTCTGATTCATGTTGAGTTCAGTGAGACTGATGTAGGGTATATCGATATCACCTTTTCGTGTAGATGCGAGTGGTCCGGACGACGGCCGGCTGGTGGAGGTACGGTGGTAAAGAGTGGCAGACCCGTTTCTGCTATCCGTCAAATACACCGGTCCAGACATCGCACGGACTCCTCCGCCGCCGCCGCCGCCGCCGGCGGCGCTGTAGACGCAGTGGAGATTGTTGTAAGATGAGTCGGAGGAGGAAGTACGTTTGCGTTTGAAGAAGTGGAGGGCGCTCTTCCACCACCAACGTTTACGGGTCTTTTTTATCTTCTTGCTGGTGTCGTCTTTGGAGATGGGTTTCTGAAGCTTGAAATGCACGTTGTCAATGGCGGATCTGGACGAGTAAGTTTCGCGTTTATGCTTCCTGGCTTCTTCCAACACCTGCGAATTGGAACAGAGACTGTTAAGCAAGGATTTGAGTGCCATTGTTGAAAGTAATGAAGAGAAAGGGGAACCTGAAAGTAGTCGATTTGAGGGTCGAAGCCATAGTCACTGAAGTGTTGAGGCTCATGAATGGGGAAGATTGGGGATTTGGTGGTCATGATTTCACAATAACAGGCAGTCCAGAATGTGATTGTGAAATGGGTTGATAGCTTTGACGGAAGGGAATGGTAGTATGGTACTATGGCAGGGGAGGTGTTAAATGTAATGAATAATTTGGGTTTTTTTATATATAGCTGGGTTGTTGATGTTTTTTTTATGTCTGATTATTTTGTAATATTAAGTATTATTCACATATTCGATTTTTTAGTTTTACTGAAATTGAGTAATCTAATTCTTATAAATGAATAATTTGATAATAATAATCATCTTTTATATATATAATGACCATTTACTCTAGAATATAGTATTTCAAAATGATTATGTTTATTTCAAAGTTGATAGTTGGTATGTATAGGGTCTGAAATCTGATATTCTGGACTAGAAAAATGTATTCTTGATAGTATTTTGAAATTGTGCATTCAAGAATAGTGTTCAAAAGAGGTAAAATTAGTGTATATGTATGTATTCTTTATTCCTCCCTTGTTGAAACCCTATTTTGATTGTTTTCATATACTCAATAAATGAATATGTATAAAGATTTTTTTTTTTTCTTGTGTCAGTTTCTAGTGAAGGGCAATGATATGATATCGAGGGATTTATACAGTATATTGTTCCAAATTACACATGTTTTGGTGTAAATATAACCAGTGAGATCAACTTCGATGGGTTAATTACATTGGTTACTTCTAAATCCATGTTACACACTAATTACATATGTTTACCTTTTTAATGTCCTTGATCAAATATAATTATACAGATTCTTGACGATAGTGATGTCAAATACTTTTTAGTTTTGTTAGTAGTATATCTCCTAATAGGGTACAATTGTTTGTTGTTAATAGTGTTAGGGAAAATAGCATTCATCGGTTTCTAATGGATGATGATTCTTGTAGCATTGGGTCTTCCGGTGCTGGAAGTAACCAAATTGGTAATTTATTACTTATGACAACTAATCATGTTCATTCTTACAGTGAGCTTGTAAAAGGGATGATTATAGGTATAAAGGTAAGACTACAGCTGATGTTGCTCAATCTTTTGAACATTTCACCTTTAGACCTTCCACTTTTAATTATTTCAGTTAATCTCAAAATTGATTCTAATTAATTTATAATTAAACAGTATAATTTTGAATTAATATATTTTTCTAAAAAAATATTAATAAATTATTTGTTTTGATTTCTAATTAATTTATTAATTATATAATAATTTAACAAATAAGTCTCTCTCTCCAGACAGCATTTCAATCTCTTACTAGGTTTGAGGGCAACCCAAAAGGACTTTGCTAATAATTTAAGTTTATAATAATTTAGTTAATGGTTTAGACACATACTCCAACAGTCTCCCACTTGGATAAGTCTTTAACTAAATTACAACTTCCAAATTAAACAACAAAGTGTGCTGTAACGATCGTCTTTCGAGGTATTAATTATTTAATTTTCTTAAATTATAATTGGGTCAAGTATGGATAATAGGAGTATTGGATTGGACTTATGCACTTGGACCAAAGGCTTGGGCCGCCCAGATGACTTACACTGGGCGTAGCCTGGGCGTACGCGATTAGAATCGGGAGTGTACACACGTAGGCGCAGTGTACCAAAGTGTACACGCAACGTACGTGAACAGATAAGGAAAACCTTAATTTAGGGTTCAAGAGCTATATAAACCCCATTATAGCCTCCCTCCCCTCCCCGGTTTCTTATCAGCCTCCTCACCTACAAGGAAACCCTAACTCGTTCTTACCCCTTCTCATTGTGTGAAGTTCCTTTTATGAGTGTTTTTAGTGGTAGAAAGTTGTGAAGAAGGAAAGGAAAGGTTGGAGAAGAAGCTTGAGCTCAAGGATTTGGACTAAGCTCACCTTTTTGTCACAAAAGAAGGTATAAAGCACTTAACTTTCTTCCTCATATTCTAGATCTAGGGTTTTGAGAGTTTTAGACCTCTTTAGGTCCAAAGGTTGGACCTTGATCTTTTGAATCCATTTTTGAGCTTGAGGTTGCCATCCTTGAGGATCAAAACACTTTCTTAGCAATAAAGTTTCAATCTTTGAGGCTTTCATGAAGCCATGCATGAGATCTAGCCACTTCCATGGAAATAGATTATTGTTTTTAAAGTTTGAGCTTATGTGAGTCATGTAAGTCATCAAGTAAGCAACTTTATGGTTTAAGGCATGGAATAAGACCTGTATCTAATTTTGTAGCTTCTGACTTGAAATATTAAGCACTTAATAGAGAAAGGACTTAACAGGGAATTACGTTGAGCGTAAATGGGAGTACGCCCAGCATACCCGCCAACGAACAGTTACGCTAAGCGTACTTCGGAGTACTCCCCGCATAACTCAGTCAGTTTGGACCTTAGGTATTTGGGCCTCAGTATGGGTCGTATTTGGACCTTTGGCCTTAGTAGGCCAGCAAGAGTCAGAGGATGGGCCAAAGGCATTTTGGGCTTAAGTAGGTCCATATGAGTTGGGCCCAATTTAGAAAATTGGGCCATTAGTGGACTTAGAAAGAAGTAAAGGGTTTGGTCCTTGGTTAGGACCCACACCATAGCAGGGGTAAAATAATCATTTCACCCATAGAAGGATCCTCATTTTTATTAAGTGTTTTACTAGTCATGATAACCGGAGAGCAGCCGGGACAGCAGCCAGGGATCCTTCACTCGGATTTCCAGCGATCGGTTCTTCAAGGTGAGTTTCCTTCCAGTAGGAACGGGCCTACAGCCACAATACTATCCCGTTTAGATAGCAGTAGTTTCGAACTGCGGTCCGATGCTGGAGTGGTCCCGAGAAGTAGTTTAGTATGCTTGATGTCCTTGTGATTCAGGCATGTCTATGTGTTATGTGTTCCGGACTGCGGTCCGATGCAGTATGTAGTATATGTGTTGTTGTTATATGTTATGATTATGTTATGCTATGTTCACTCAGTACCGAACTTCAGTCTGATGTAGAGGGTGTGGCCCTAGTTAGTTCCAGACTTCGGTCCGATGTAGAGGGCGAGGCCCTAGTCAGTTCCGGACTTCGGTCCGATGCAGAGGGCAAGGCCCTAGTCAGTTTCGGACTTCGGTCTGATGCAGAGGGCAAGGCCCTAGTTAGTTTCCGGCTTCGATCTGATGCAGTGGTCAAGGCCCAATATGTGCTTTATATGTTATTGTATGGTATGTGGTAGTTTTGGGGAGCTCACTAAGCTTCGTGCTTACAGTTTCAGTTTTGGTTTCAGGTACTTCAGCTAGCAAGGGAAAGGGCTCGGGATGATGGCATAACACCCACCACAGTTTTAGCTTGGGAGTTAGACTCTGATATTTGACATGATTAACACCCACCACAGTTTTAGCTTGGGAGTTAGACTATGATATTTGACATGATTTGACATTTGATGTGATATGAGACATATTTATAATATCTTGAGATACATGACTTATGGTTTTTTTTCTATATGATGTTGAATATTATGGTTTTAGTAATATTTTCAAACGAAAATTTTGGCTTGTGTCTTTCGGACGTTTCATGTGCTTTCCTAAGCAACTGTCGAACTCTGATCTAAACATACATTGGTACTTAGATAAGTGATCAAATATTCCTCCATTCTACTAGATATAATATAGACATGAGACATGGATTATAATCAATCTCATTGTCCAAGTTTTGTTTCCCAATTTCTGATTTGTGATGATGATATAAGACTTCAAATTGAACACATCAATTGAGTCCAAGTTGGGCCTAGCACTATAAGTCAACACGAAATCACTAAGGGTCCCAAAGATATCGCTTTTCCTGTTAGGAAAAAGGAATGAATGAACTTTTACTTATATGCTTGTATCTTCTACTCACCAAATCATACATGACACTGTGTTTTATAACGTCATGTTAATAATGCAGTTTCACAGTACCAATGCACAGCCGACTTGTAAGTAAAAACTCATATCTCTGTTTCACGAATATAATATATTATCTTCTCATAATTACTCATGACATAATCCATGAAGTAATTCTCTGAGCGTGGGTTTATCTAATACTTAAATCTCCGTTTGTAAGTACTCATGAATGTTACAGCAATATAATTGATATGTCTAATTCCTTAGAAAATCTACAATCCAATTCATAATAGACTTAATTTACTACTTACTCCCACAGTATAAGCAAGTGTGGAATTTGAATAATTAAATTATTCGAGAAGTAAAACATGCAAAATGAAACACAAGAATAAATAATTGACAAAGGAAGTAAACATACTCATTAATAATCTCTATTATTTAATCACCAAAATTCGATTACATTTATTATGTTACAAGTTTCAAACTATTCATCTAACTACTAAGACTAATATTACCTCTTAATCCAATGCTTCTAGCATGTTGATTGTGTTTAACCCTATTCAGAGCCTTCATCAAAGGATCTGTAGGATTCTCTTCTGATGATACCCTCTTTACAATGAGGTGACTTTCTTCTACTCTATGTCTGACATAATGGTATTTCCTATCGATATGTATTGATTTTCCATGATCTCTTGATTCTTTAGTTAAAGAAACCGCACCTTCATTATTGCAGAAAATTTCCATTAGTTCCTTAATGGTTGGAACTCCTCCAAGATCTTCGATGAAGTTCCTCAACCAACCTGCTTCCTTTGATATTTCACTTGCCGTTATGTACTCTAACTCACACGTGGAATCAACCACTGTGTCTTGCTTGGAACTTTTCCAATTAACTGCTCCACCATTTAATAGAAACACCCAGCCTAATTGAGAATGAAAGTTGTCCCTGTTTGTCTAAAATATGGCATCACTGTACCCATTCATTCTCAACGTATTACTGCCTCCAAAGACTAAAATCATATCCTTTGTCCTTTGCGGATACTTGAGAATATTCTTAATTGTTGTCCAATAAGCTATTCCAGGATTTCCCTGATAGCGACTGACCATGCATAAAGCAAAGGACATATCAGGGCGAGTACATCTCATAGCGTACATGATCGATCCTACCGATGAAGCATAAAGCACTCGACTCATATCAATTATCTCTTCATCTGTACTTGGGCTTTGAGTCTTACTCAACTTGTCATTGCTTTGAATAGGTAGCTCTCTTTTATTGTAATTTTCCATACTAAATCATTTTAGTACTTTGTCCAAGTATGTACTTTGGCTAAGTTCAAT